CCCTGTCCCGCTGCGTGTTGTTCGGGTCCCTGTTCTGGGTGCACAGGAAGGTGTCATGTGGCTCCATATGTGTCCACAAGTGTGTGCTTAGCATGATCTGGATCATCTGAGCAGGCTCAATTTCAAATAGCACTGGAGTTCCTAGAGATCAGTCCTGCAAAGTGAAAGGGAACGAGTGTTATTCAAATACCCCCAAAGGGAGAGCGTGAGTGTCCGCGAGCAGACGGCTTGCTGGTGAACGTCTGTGCATCGTGTGCGCAGTGGGCCTAGCAGAGGCCCCCGCAAGGTGCCCGACTCTCGGTGCTCGGAACCTGTGTCTGTTTAACCTCAGGCGGGAAAAGCGACTTGGCAGATGTGTTTGTTGAAGGATCGTGAGACACGGAGTCCCCTGCGTCATGTGGGCGGGCTCTGTGTCATCGCAAGACCTTTACTGAGGCTGTCAGGAGAGGCAGAGCGGCTGGGGCACGGGGCACACGGGCACATGATGCCAGGAGCGCAGAGTCTCTGTGCTGGAAAAGGCAGCAGCTCTCCCAGGCCCAGTAGAAGGAAGAGAGCGGACACCTCACCCACACCACTCCAGAACTGCCAGGGGATACATTCGTGTGGTTTGAAGGGGCTAAATGTCTAGTATTTTGTTATAATAACGCTGAGAAGCAAATGCACCCACCTCTAGAATTAGGAGACATGAATTGCTTTCTTGAAAGAGTCTATCAAGTCACCTAGTCCAGCCAGTTGGCGTCTCATAACTACTTGCTTGGCAGTTGGGGGACACTATTTCACCCACCTGCCCTGCTGACTTCTGGCACTATCAAGTTTGTGCCGGCATCTATGGATAATCCAAGCGCAGGACCTTTAAAATCATAAACGTTGCTTGGCGCGACCACGCTGTGGGCTGTTTAGAAAATCGGTAGGTAGAAAGGCACTTCCTTTAAATGCTTTAAAACTCTTTGCAGCCTCTTTAGAGAAATTTATCTATGAGTGTCTTGACTGGTGGGGTCAAGCTAAAGTAGCCCAGGACTGTGGGTGACGTGTTTTCAGTGGGCAGTAACTCGCGAAACGACTCTTGCCTCTTGCCCGATCTGAGCCGTGGGAGGAATTTCTCATTGAAACAGAGAAGCATAAATTTGGGGGAAGTTTTTTAATTTAATGTAAGAATATTAAGTCAAGATTTCATTTAAATAAAGACTTTAAACTCAAGAATAAAATGGTACTTTTGTGTCTTTAATTTTGCGGGTGGATGTGCTTGAGTCTGCTTGGACGTCTGTTTCTCAGAGAGCTAAGATTTCAGTCTTGCTTTTCTGAGAATTTAATAATGCAAAGGAGTCTATATTCAAATTTTGACATTTATGTGAATTTTTGGTGTTAAGCTCTCAGCGTTTGTATGTCTTTATCATTAGAGCCGTTTATTTAACTACATACTGGTGTATTGTGCTGTATAAATGGCAGTGAAAGTATGAAGTGAAAAAAGAATAAAGGTTAATACAAGAACCTTGGACTTTATTCAAGTAACGTATTGATTTAACCCAAAAGAAGTTTTGTGTGTGTGTAAAATCCATTGTACTTCTCTGTCGTCCCAAAGGATACTGGATGCACATGGAACACCGCTGAGGGAAGACGCATCTATGGATCACAACTGCCCACATAAACTCTTTACCTTTTTCTTTTTTTTTAAGATTTATTTATTTATTTATACAAGAACTGGGGTACAGGCCAGAGATGTGGGGGTGAGAGGATTCACCAGAGACAGAGTGGGGAGCAGAACAGGCGGATGCACTGAAATCCACTGCTGAGGGGAGCAGCGGGCGAGACAGGAGAGGTCTGCTGTGCCATGTGGGTTGCTCCGTGGCAGGCCGGGGATCGAATTCATGCTGCAGAGGCTGCTGATAGCTTCATAGTGCAGTGCTTAACCTCTTGTGCCACCAGGGAGGCCCACTTTACCTTTTCAAAGGGGCCATTACTCCTGGATGGACAATGGGCTGTGTGGTCAAACCCTAAGTAATGACAGGACATGCACACACGTGTAGTAACATAAAACATTTCTTCCCTGTTGATTTGTCTGCAGATGGAATCCCATTCAATGTGCTGTGACTTCTCTCTAGTCCCTTTCTTAGTCCTCTGATGAAGGGGTTTGTTGATGCATCAGGCACAAGTGCTCAGCACAGGCAAAACCGGCCTTCTTCCTCTCAGAAGTGGGCTTCCTCAGAGACCAGGTACGCAGCTCTGCTCCTTCAAGGAGGCAGCCTCTTAGCAGCTCTGCCTGGTGGGTATGAGCCAGAGCTTCTGACTCAGGGAAACCCATGGCCTCTATTGTGACAGAAGGAGAACTCTGACTTTCTAGCCCTCACTCAGAAATCAGGCAGGGAAAGAGGACCCCACCCCCCAGATCCCTGCACCTCGGATTGGCGGACCGCTAAGGTGAAGGAGCCTACGGTGGATCCAGGAGCTCGTGTGATCGGCTCATCCAGCGCAAGTGCCTACGGCTGTCCCGGAGAACAATCTGAGAGCACTCTGGACACTTATAATTAATGACCTAGGAGCTGAAATAATGAGAGTAGTCTAGAGAAACTTTCAAAAGTCCATAAAAGGACACACACTTCAAGATATTTATCACAACGTCGTTTGTATTTGCGAGTTGCTGGGTGTGATTTAGTATCTACTTCCAGTGAAATGTGCTGACATCCACTGGTGCAAAGGCTTTTAAGAAGCCAGAAGAAATGGAGTAGGGATTACACAGCAAAAGCAGGATGAGCGCTCAGAAAACAGGCTTGAATGAAAATGATAAGAAATACAACATTTGCTCTATGACCTCATTTATTTAAATTAGATTGTAATATCAAAACATATATGTTTTAAGGATCTAGCCACAGTGAGATGTATTTTAAACGCATGAGCATGTCCAGATGGAGAGGAGGCATCTAAAGATGGGACCTGGAAGTGTCCGTCTGCAGTGCTGATCCCTGAGCCTCACTAGAGACGCGCATTCAGACACATGAAGGCTGCATCGAGGAATGCACAGTTTAATCAAGCACATTCAATAGTTTCATGAACTCTGAGACTTGGAATCATGGATAAGTAGATGGCCCAATTAGGAAGCTGTTTTTTCAAATTATTCAAGGTTTTCAAGCTGTAGCCTGAGAATGCGATCTTTTTCATATGCTATTCACCCTTCAAACATCTCTCCTTTCAAGTGAGATTTTATCCATTCCTCACAAGAAAGCTCCCACCTTTCAACTCTAGCCTCAATTTTAGAAAATCCTCACTTTAAATGAATTTCATTTGACTCTATGCTTTATCATCTTCTTGCTAGAAAGCTTATTAAAAGAAGAGAAGGCACCTCCAATATTCACCTTCCACAGCTCCTCATGCATTTCAGCTGCCCAATAAAACTTGAACAGATTATTAAATCAGTAAATTCACTAATACCTATAGGTGTGACAATACATTGCTTTAGTATTTTAATCTTCTGTAGACAACTCAGAGTGGTTAGGAAGTAATTTTGTTTTTATGTGTTTTTCTTGCTATTAAGCTTGTTACGGTGAAAATTCTCATTTAGAAGATGCATATTTTAAAATAAAATAACTTGTTTTCAGCTATGTATTAATGTGAATAACTTTTTACTTGGATGTTATTTCTTAAAAGCAGGCTGTCATACACTCGAGTTTTTTCATTTCAAGAATACAATTATTCATACAAGCAGTCCTCAAGGTGCTAAGATATGAAGATAGAGAAATAATGGGTTTTGCTTCAAAATAGAAAGAGCAACACACAATTAAGAATAGTCAGGGGCAAATGATATTTAGAAAGTCTAGCTTGGGTTGGTTGCAATCAGAAGTCATTTTCAACTTATTTAACACCTGGAAAGACATCGCTACATATCAATCAGAACGAAGTCATTTTGTGGCACTGAACTGAGATCTTCCAGGCTCTTATTATTCTAGATATTATGGGTTTAATCTATAGAATTTCAAGAATCCACATTTGACCTAAGAAAGAGAGTGGAGATTGGACCTATGGCTACTTACCATGTAGTGTAAATAATGTTCTTTTTTTGTTTTATTTTTAAAGATTTATTTATTTATGCATACAAGAACTGGGGTATAGTCCAGAGTGGCGGGAGTAGGGAGTGGTGAGAGGACTCACCAGAGACAGAGTGGGGAGCAGAACAGGTGGATCTACTGAAATCCACTGCTGAGGGGAGCAGCTGGGAGACAGGAGAGGTCTGCTGTGCCATGTGGGTAGCTCCCTGGCTGGGGATTAAACTCAGGCCTTAGAGGTGATAGTGCTGAGACTTAACCCCTAAGCCACCAGGGAGGCCCTATGAGGAATGTTTATTCCTGCTTCTCTTGTTTGCTTAGGATGAGATCCATGTTCCTTTTCTCATGATTGCTGGCTTTAGAATTAAATCTGGTCACATTTGAGTGCTCTTCTTTTTGATTTTTTTATCCACAACTTCTCAGAATGTCTACTTCTGCAATAAGTCAGTCTAGCAAGGGTCTCTGATGCAGAAAGGGCATGGTAGCTAGCATGGCCTGTGACGCTGTGGGTGATTTTATCTGATTTAGGAGCAAAATGCCAGTACGCCCTCTTGTCCACAGACATACATCACCTTCTCCAGCTGTCTTTTATCAGATACAATATTAACATTCTTCTCTATCTCCTGCAATAATGGCTCAAGTGATTCTGTACCAGGGAGGAGAACTTACTAAATTATTTGAATGCTCTAAGCACACAACTTCTGTCGGGTCAATGATGAACACTAAATGATATTTAAAAGTAGAACTTGTGGAAGAAGAAACAGAAAGGCCAGTCTGAGTACCACTAGCCTCTTGATTTTCAAAGCAGGTAAACCCTGTGGCCTTCATAACAGGGCCTGCATAGCACTTGATAAGAAGCCAACTCCAGATTGTGACAGGGAATGATAACTCTGTAATGAAGTCTCCCCGGAACCAAGCAGAAATTCAGTAACAATATATTTTTTTTTCATTTACTCTGTTTTCCAGTCAATACTGCAAACCAGGCAAGGACTTTCGAAGGCAGCTGTCTTCTCCCTGTGTGATCCAGAGCTCTCGTAAGTACCTAGTTTTAAGAGGTGAAAGCTGATTATGTAGGGTGCAGAGCAACAGAAGTGTCTTCAATCCTATTTTCCTTTCGAATGCTTGGCACGGCAATCCCTACTCTACCTGTCCAGCACCAATGATTTTGTTTTCAAATTGACAATAAGACTCACAAAGCACAATGAGATTCACTATTGTCAAGTTCACTTACCATCATATGAGAAATAGGACAGCAGCATATGGCGTGATGAGAGCAGAGACAGTCCTGGGGAACCCCAAGTCCTCCGCAGGTGCCGGTGACCTCACTAGACCTGCATCAGTTCTGGGGTCTCTTTGGCTTTGCCCTTTGCTGGTCATGTAGCTGCATCAAGAGTGTCCTCAGCCTCCTGTGCAGCTGCTCTCCCCAGTTCCATGTCATTCATCAGAAACTGGTCATCAGTGAGCACTCATGACAAGTATCCACCCTTGTCTTTGAACACAGTGTATTTTGGATACAACATATTTCTAGAAATGCCCCGAATTCGTGTTACAAGGAGGAGATGAAGTAGAATTTATTCATACGTGATCTTTGAACATGACCTAAGATTTCAGTTTAAAACTGCGATACATTGTCCAGTGAGCTGTAGAAAATTATTAGCAATCAAATGACAAAGTTTGGACTTGAGTGACAAAAGTATGTCCTTAGAGAGAAACAAAAACCAAGAAGAAATAAATTCAATGAATTACCTTAAGTCCAAAGGAGGGGCACGGGGTCTAATAAAATGCTCGTGGATTGGGTCATCAAGTGTGTGGAAACTGAGGGTAATTTTTCCAGGGATACAAGAACTGGAGTGATTTGAAACATAATCAGTTTACTATTAGATGAGAGGCTTTGGTGAATGAAACAAAATAAAGGAAGACAATCTCGTTAAGTTGGATAAAGAATGTGACTTTCCCAGGGAAAGGTAGAGCTCTTAAAAGAGAGAGTAAATATATATGTATGAAAGTGACATGTTCTTAAAATTCAGAATAAAGTAGGTGTAAAAGTAAAAAGAAATCTGCCAAGTCCGATTGTCCTTAGAGTCGGGCTTAGGAGTTGGAACACTTTCGTTATAGCAGGTCAAAGTGAGGACTAATAGAAATCTGAGGCAGCAGCCAAAAGCCACAGACAGAAAACTGGAAGGACACTCCGAGGAAGTCAGTGTTCTGGAAACTTTTTAAATGTGACCTTTTAGAATTGTGGACAGCGTCCATTCTGAGTGCAACAGAGGTGACAGTCTGTAAAGATAAAAACATCTTTTTGAAGAAGTTAATGATCCCTTAGGGTTTGAGACTCCAGTACTTGGAAACGCAGTATGAAATACTGCAGAAAGTTTCTGGGTGAGTTAGAAGGTGGCCGAGTTATTATAGACAAGTGTCTGGCATGGGGGGGACGGGGAATTTCCCCCATACCCAGGTTCTTTGGAGGTTCGACGATGGAAGAAATTACCATCAGAAAGAGCAACAGGAGAAACAGTCTAAAGTTAACAGTGTATGTCTGGGGAATTTACTGGACCTTAGATTATAAAGTAAATGGGGTGAACCAGGGTCTTATGTCCTGTGCTCAGGCACCCGCGGTGTCACAGACAGAGGAGGGTGTGTCAACATGATGCAGAAGGGATGACTTCATGGGACAAAACCGTGTTTCTGGATGTCTGCCCTGCCTTAAGATAGATTTTTCTGATAAAATGGTTGCCTCTGATATCCCTAAATGGAGGAAATCTGCATTCCTAGGTGATGTTCTGATTGGCATGATTTGACGTGCCAAGGTCACTGGAAAGGACATGCAGGCATTCTGGGGCCAGCCTATCTGGCTGTTCTGGGGAGACCAGGCCCACCTGGCAGACTGTGTTTACGAAATGATGTATCTCAAAGTCAATAGAATTGAGACTCTAAAAAAATCCGAAAACAAGAGGTCAATTAAAGGAAATTAAATTAGATGCACATTTAATGGAAAACTATTGTTCAGATGAGATTATCCAACCCAGAGTGGAGAGGGTGATTGCTATTTTTTATAAGACTTTGGTGATGTGGGGGAGAGAAAAGCTTTTCTCCACCTTCTAAGTGCTTCATGGAAATCGTGCTCTAAGTAGAACGCGGAGGAACAGCTAATGAAGAAACAACTCAATTCCATAAATTTTATGAATATTGAACCAAGCATGTGACCAAAACAGACAGTTTATATAGTCTTTAGGCACAGAAGCAGTGATTCTGTGAAGGACAGACAGAACAAACACATTTTTGAAAGTTTCCATTTGGGCGAGTAATTAAGTGAGCCGGGCACGGCTTGTTTACACAACTCCCGTCTCTGTTTCGGATGATACTGGTGTCTCTCCGTCTCTGCAAGGGGAGGGTATCCTGCACGTAGAGGTTTATTTCCTGCTCACATGGAGAGCAGAGACAAGGAGCATTAGAGACACCCCTGCTTTTAGGAGTCCCATCAGTTTCTTCAATACAAAACAATTGCTCAGGCCTGTTGACACTTCCTGGGGGTTGCTTCATCTGGGGCCCAACAGAGAAATGCAGAATCTATTCATTTGATGCTTCTCATTATGAGAAAAACAAGAGAAAGTCAAGAGATTATGTTCAAAAGGTAAATGCTTGGGTTAGAAAGCGAATGAAATTTAAGAGGATAGCAGAGGATGCTCGCAAACACTACCTGACATGCTACAGATGAACGTTAGTTTAGCTGGCTGAGCAGACTTCACAGAGCCCCTCTTTAAAAAGAAAAAATAATCTCAGTAAGTTAACGCTCCAGTCAAATCTTATTTACTACCTGTGTAAAAGGATGACAGATAGAAATTTTCCTCAAGACCTAGAAGTTAAAACCCTCAGAAAAGATGATGTCTTCAGTCAGGATGATTTGATAAGACAATCGATCTTAAATAGAATTGCAGATGGATTGGCTTCAGGGACAGTCACTGTAGCTTCAGTCTCCTTGGAACAATGGGATATCGGGGACAGGGGAGTTTAACTGAGGCAGGTATTTGTGACTTAAGCAATTCCATAGCAGAAAATCCCAAAGTGGCGCAGAATTTTAGAATGTTTTAATCACAAAAGACATCAGATAAGAGTCCATACTCAAAATACCACCTGTGTTCCCAAACTGTAGGGTTGAAAGGGAAGTGAAAATAGGAGATTTTGCATATGATGCTTGCAAAAGACGGGCAATTCAAGCACACTCTGATGATCTCACCACCGTTTTTTGTTAGGTACAAAACCTCTGTTTCAGTGGCAGTCACGATCTGAGAGCAAAACAAGACGTCTAGCTCTCCCCTCTCCCCGTTGGGAAAACCATGACAATATTAACATCTTTCAAAGTCAATTTTATTTACGTTTAAAGATTATAAAAATTGTCCAATAGCTTAACCTAACAGGTGAGAGTAAATCAGAATGATTTTTTCATCCCTACGCCTTTGCTTCGTTCCTGTTATGTTCTTTGTCGACATTAAGTGTTGACTTCTGGTAACTGTAATTATGCTTAGGGGACAATTTTAGGGGTTGGGGATTGATTTTTACTAGTCTGTTAAATATCAGCATAGGGTCTGGGCATCCTGTAGGTCACAGGCTATGCTGAACCTGGGAGGCCACCAGGCCTTGTACACAGACTCTCTGCCCCAGCGGAAGACAGCACCGCTGTCGACCTCCTCTGACTCTTCCGAAACATGGAGATGCACTGTGGCGTGTATGAGCAGCAAGAAATTGGGAAGGGCATGAAAGGCTTTTATTTAATGCAAGCAGGGTAATTCTATTTGGAATTTTAGCTTATTTGGAATCTCTTTGAATGTCGATGGCTCCCCAGGAAATTAATAATGGGTAAAATTTACACTCACTTCGGAAGTATCTCTATATTAACCGTATTGGAATATTGTAATGTCGCTATTTAATCTCATCACAAAACCTCTACTAAGTTATTTTGTACAATGTAGCCAAATATAATTTGGATTGGAATGTAGAATAAGAAATGGATTTTCGAGCTAGGTACACAGTGGCAATGGAGCTGACTTAATTAATGTTTAATGTTCTGATCATTTCAGAGTCTCTAATTATGGTAGCATGGGAGGATCTAGGAGAGGTATTTGGGAGAGAAAATCACCAAAACTTGGAGTTGCATTGAGTGTGGGCCATGAAAATAGGCACTATCAGGGATGCCTTCTAGCAGAAGTGGGTGGATGTGAATGTTCTGAAAGGAATGAGGTTTTGGACAAAGTCTTCATCTGGGCTCTGTTTGTGTAGTCGAACTGACACAGTAGGTTAAAGCATTCAGTGGAAAGTTGGCCATGGTGTGGGTTCTCACGCATGAGCCCTGGGATGGAAATCTTCAGCTAATGTTATGGTTAGGTAAACAGGGGAGCAGACCCCATAAAGGACTCTGTTTAAAAGTAAAGGGAGGGCCTCCCCTGGTGGCGCAGCAGTTGAGCGCTGAGCTGCAAAGCTGCCCGCAGCCTCTGCAGCGCCGGTTCGATCCCCGGCCCTTGGCAAGGGGCCACATGGCACGCAGCCCTCTCCTGCCGCCCGCTGCTCCCCTCAGCAGTGTATTTCGTCAGTCTGCCTGTTCTGCTCCCCGCTCTGGCTCTGGTGAATTCTCTCACCCTCCCACGCTTCTGACTGTACCCAGTGCTTGTATAAATAAATAAATAAATCTTTAAAAAATAACAATAATAAAAATAAAGTGATCTCAGGACCACAAGATAAACACATAAAACTGAGAAGAGTTAGCAAAACTTCTAGGGATGTAAGAAAAAGAAACAGAGAAATCAGTGGAAGGCGGATCTGACAAGAGAGACTGGGTCAGCACCTAACTGCAGAGGCTGCTGATCTGAATCCTGATGTAGGTGCTCGTAGCAAGAGACGGTCACATGTACTGATGACAAATTTAGGCGGAATTAATGATTTTGAGGAAGTTGAGGTAATCAAGACTGATGATTTCTTTTGTTTTTGTTTTTTTTCTCTTACATGTTAAAAGGACAGGTTTGTTAGGAAAAGGATGAAAAAA